TATTTTCATTCTTTTACATTTGTCCACTGTTGTGAATTTTTTTTCTGGTAACTTGTGTCATTGCGTTCCTTAAGTCCTTACTGTCGTAATTTTTCTATATTTTTGTGCATCTCCTTTTATCCCATTTCTGTTGACTTTTTAAATTTCTGATGCAAAGGTTTCTTTCATATTTTCAAATGCTTGTTTATTTGTAACTCCAGTAGAAATGTAGCTGCATAGTTTTCTTCTGCCTTATGGTGATTTTTCTGAGTGAAATGTTGCTTGGTCGATGTGTATATGGAATTCATTTTCTAACTTTTAAGATTAACTGTGGGTTGCTAATTTTTCTCTTGCTTAGTTTTGTGATCTTTGATTATTTTCCAGGATTGTGTGATACATTCTCTGACAGCATAGAGATGTGCATATTCCAATAAATGTCTTATGTTTGTTTGGTGATATAAGTCCCCAGTTTTATAATTCCCTTTTATCTTTCACCCTTTCCTTCCTTCTCACCACTGAATCAGTGAAGGGCACGCAGGAAGACCCACCCAGGTCTTCCCACTTCTTTCCTGTAGTTCTTGAGAACTGCTGTAGGATATGCGGGGTATGCAGTACCCACATGGAGGAACTGCTTCAGAGGCCTAGCGTCCTTTCCAGTCCTCCCTAGAAATGAGATGTCCTTTGCTGCTCCAACCTGGCATGTCATTGGGCCCAAGTTAAAACCTCCAGACAGGCTCCTTCCCACCCCCTTTCCTCATCTGCAGTCCCGCTTGGGCTCATATAGTCAACCCTCCATGCGACCAAGCAGCATTCCTGAAACGTGGGGACAGCCTGGCAGTGACTCCTGGGCCACTGTGCTTGCAGCCTGAGAGCAGGTAAATCTACTGCAAGTACCTCGTATGTGGGATTCTGTCTCACCACTGTGCCCCTGGCTCACGCCCAGTGAAATTTCCCAGTGGGTTTTTCTGCTTTGCCTCCTGCAGAAGTTCCTTCAAATCCCATGACTTTGAGGTTCCTCCTTTGTGGTGAGTGTTCCAATCCACCTGAATCCTTTCACATGAGGTCACTAGGTAGGGCCTTCATGATATTGGTGTCCCTGTAAGAAGAGACATCAAGTGGCCTCACACAAAGGAAGGGTCATGTAAATACACCATCTGGTGGCTGCTGCCTACATGCCAGGAGCAAAGGCTCACAGGGAAACCTATGTGGCACCTTGGTCTAGGGCGTCCAGGCTTCAGAATTGTGAAAACTCATAGAGTGTTTAAACTGTCCAACCCAGGGTATTTTGTTATGACAGCCCAGGCAGACTAACATTTGCGCGAGCGCACGCACACGCGCGCGCGCGCGCGCACACACACACACACACACACACGTACACATGCATTCATGCATCAAGTTATCGTGTCAACCCAAATGGAGACAGATTCTTGAAAATTGTTTGCTTAGGAGTAGCAAAGTATTACAGTGGAAATACACATGTCTGTAGTAAGCTATGCACGTGTTCAGAGAGGGTGAGGGAAAGGGAACTTTTAAAGGCAAAATACAGATTTCACAAGACATTCTGAAATTATAATTCATGGCCACAGGGATTAATACCAAGTGTCCTGATTTGCATGTCATCACAAGGTATTTCCCAGGTGGGTAAGGCTTGGTACCTTTGTGCCGGGCTGTGGTGCTGGCCTCTTTGTGATCATTATTATCAGCTATCATGGGTAAGAAACCTTCATTAGCTCCACGCTCTGTTCATTTCATTTTTGTTAGACTTGACACAGAGCAACTTCATTTTGATTCTGACACCTCACAATCAACTTTATTATAGTGAAAAACTGGACAGACAAATCTCTTAATAAGGGTTACACAAATCTATTGATTATGACAAATGTATCTTGGAGTGCTATCTAGTAATACAAACCAATGTGTGTTTTTATTTATTGATATAAAAATGTAAACAAAAGTTTATAAAACAGCTTACAAAGTATACTCCCACTTTACTAAAAAACTTTTTTAAAAAGAAATATACCCAAAATATTGAGGATAGATTCTACTGGGTTTAGGTTTATGCACAGTTTTTATTTCATTTTATATTTTTCTATATTGCCTATTTTTCCAAGTAGCTATTTTTATAATAAATATTTTCATTTGAAAGAAGCTTAAAACACTGAATGGAGAATTAGGTGTAGAGAGTGTAGCTCAGTGGTAGTGAGTTTTCCTGGCATGTAAGCGGTCCTGCATTCAATCCCCAGCACCACAAAAGGAAAAATCTTATGTATGTAAGTTTATTTTGGAAGAAAATATGTTTTTCTAGAAATTAATTTGTCTCGGGGCTGGGAATTTAGCTCAAGCACCTGCCTTGCAAGCAGGCAGTCGTGAGTTCGATCCCTGGTACCGATAAAAAGGAAAAAGACAAAAAAAAAAAAAAAAAAGAAAGAAATTAATGTGTCTGGATTTAGTAATTCTAGAAATAAAAATTGGAGTTTAAAAGCAAAGAGCCATTCTTCAGTTGGGTTACCAGATCTAGCAAGTAAAAACTCAGCGTCTCTGTCTTAAAGCAGAGTTGTTCTGTTTCATGTGTTTGAGCTTCTGAACATCCTGGTGGTGGGAGCAGCCCCAGCCTCATTCCATGTGAAGGAGAAGCAGCAAGGCTCGCACAGGTTGATGGCTTTCCAAGGTCCTCTCGCATACAGGTGGTAGGCAGGGCCCTGGCCCAGTTTGGGACAGTCCCCACGGCCTCAGGCTATCCAGTCTGATAGTGAAGGCCACTGACAGTAATTGTGGTAGGTGGGTCCCAGCAGCATTGTTTCTGTGTTGTCCAGCTAGGAGGCTTCATTACAAAGCTATCCTCCGCTGCATCAGCTGAATGGAAACATGGCGTCCCTTGCCCAGAGTGATTTATGTGCTGAGACTGATGAAATCCTAAGAGTTGGACTGAAAAACACTGATCTTGATGCAGTTAAAATTTCTTAAATGCCAAAATATTTCTAGAGTGAAATAATGGATAGCTTAAAAACCTTTTTACTGGCCCTCTCATTTCACTAGAAGCAAAAGAAGTGACCCTCTGTTTGGGAGACAAAAGCATGGACACCCCAGAGAGTTCGTGGTGAAGGCCTTTCAGGGTACTTACTGAACTTTGGTGCATCCGAGTCCATGAACAGCCAACACCATGGAAGCAGATAGCGCAGCTTTCACTTTGTGGAAGTAAATATTCTAGGGATGAATCAGTGTAAAATGGAATGCAGTCTCTGGAGGTACCTCCAGCCTCTCACTGCCACATGAAATGTGATCAAAACGTATGTGAATGCAGCCGATACATGCCAACTAGCAGAAAGGCAGGGCATGCAAAGCAACACGTCAGACCTTCTAACAGCAGGTGGCAAATTTCATCATTTGGCATGCTCAGTCAGTTGTGGGCTACATTTGAAAGAAGAAAGTGTGATGTAAATCATGGATCACCAACAAGTGACATGAAATGTTTTCAGTTTCATTGGAACTATGCAGTTATGCCACTTCATATTCCAGCTTTTTAAGAATGTCATCATGGGAGATGGAACTTAGGTCTATGTTTATGATCCTGAGACTAAACTGCAGAGTTCTCAATGGAAATCACCCAATTTTCCTCATGAAAAAAAAAAGTGCGTCAGTATCCAGCATCAGTGTGATGTTAAATGTGCTTTTTACTTTGATGGAATTTCAAGAGTGGAATTCATACTTAGGAACACTATGGTGAGCTCTGAATATTTTAAGGACTTAGTAGATTATGTAAGAAACAATATGCACAGAAAACAGCCCGAGAAATGGGCAGTTTTGTCTCCATCATGAAAACACACCGTGTGACACACTGCTTCTGCTAAGGCAATTTCCATCTGATAAAAACATTACAATTGTGTCTTCATCTCCCTCATTCAGTTGATCTGTGACTTCGGACTCTTAAAGTCCAAATGACCATGAAATGTAAATGTTTAAAGTCGACTGCACATTGAAGCAGCCACGGCAGCTTGACTAATGCGAGGAAAGAGGACTTCCAGATCTGTTTCAGAAATGGCAAGAATGATGCAATAAATGCACTCAGAGCTAGAGGGACCATGGGGCGTTAATGACAAATGTGTCTGTTATTATAAGAAATTTTAAAAATTGGAAACATCTCCCTTACTATTTGATCATACCGCGTACTGTTCATGTGTTACTTGGTCTCTCTGTTCCCAAGTGTCAGCACCTTTGAATTCAGTTTCTAGTGCCGTCACTGCACAGGGCTGTTGTTGCAGCTGAATTGTGATAACAAAGGTCAAGTCATACAAGGTCCCTGGCGTATGTAATAATGCTCTTACATGTGGCACTTACATGTCACTCTTACATGTTGTCATTCTCACCTGCTTATTTTATAATGCAAGCAAAAGCAATTTGAGAAGGAAGTATGTGAGATAACTGGAAAAATATTTTCATTAGTTTCAGTATCCATTAAGTGTTCTACTGAGTAGATAATGCTTATGCACTAACATAACTGAAGTTTTCTTAGGACGTTTAAGTGTGCAGATTGTTAAAAAATACAATTTTATGTTGGAATAGTGAATCTATCTTATGATTCTTTAACATCACAAAAATGTAAGGAAAATGTCTTGTAGACTAGGATTTTCTGCATTGAAAGTTGTTAGTAACATACTTTTACCCCTGAATTTAAAACAAATAAAATCGAATGCAGTCTAGTTTGCAGCATTTAGAACTGTCTTCTAGGCCTTAAATCTTAAACTGTTTGGGGCATACTCATGAGAGTTTATCTTTGGGCTATTTATGTTTCTTCTAGGGCCAGAGAGTTACTTAAAACACACTCTTGTAGAGTGAATAGATTAGATTTTGTCTACTGTTAACCATGCTTTTACCTGTAATTCTGTAAATTTTAGCTAAGCACCTAGCATTCAGCTTAGAAGTGTGCCGGCACTCTTAGGTCTTTAGTGAAGTAATTTTATATCACACTCTTTTGGAGATGCTGTCGGATCCTGTAACGCTCTTTATTATCACCTTCCTCTAAGGTATCCCCATCTGTCAGCAGCACTTAATCTGGAATAACGTGGAGCTTGAAGACGATTATTGCTTGAATGATTACAAGTGAGTGTAATTGTGTATTAGCTGTTCATAGGTGCTCAGGGGGAATAACTCTGTAGACCAGTGTCTTTCTCCTGAATCCCTGGATAAAAGCTCTGACTCCAGATTTCACTGTGAATTCTGAGCTGTAGGTTTGCTGGCTTAGTGCTGCTCATCATCGTCCCTGATGCTTAATTTTTTTCTCATGTTAAACCATTCCCTTCTGCTTTTTACACCTTCCTGTTAACCTCTTGTCCTCTTTGCTTCTCTCTTTAAGCACCGACACACTCCTGTCTGCCTTTCTGTCCATCTGCAGGAAACTTCTGGCATGAGAGGCTAGCTCTTCTCTGAGACTTTCCTCCTGCACACCTAACCCTCCTTCAGTCCCCGAGCCGTGCCGTGTGTACCACTGGGTCCACACACACTTATTCCCCTTACTCTCACAGAGTTCATCGTTACTTTCATAAGAAAAAGCAAAAGGATGAGAGTAATGCAGAACCACTAGCAGAGCCCTGTGGCCAGCCCTGGCACAGTTTGCTGTTGTCCTGTTTCCTGTTCCACTGAGCAGATCTGCTCTCATTGGCTCTGTGGGTCCTGGGCAAGCCCCCCTCTTCCCTAGACCACCTCCTCTTCACAGGTGGGATTAGGGGGCATGGATCACAGAGTCCTTCCCAGTGTGTTTATTCTGGGGGTTCACATCATGTGTAAGGAACTTGGAACTTTTTCATCTTTTTTAATGTTTATACAAGTAAATATTAACATTTTAAATTTATTCATGTTTCCGTGCCTCTTTGTCTTTTGGAGAATAGATATTACTCTTAGCAAATCAACACTTAATTTGTATTACATTTAACATTGAATATGTTTTCACTATTATAGATTATTTATGTGTTAACTGTCCACAGCATTTCAGAAGGTTGTACTTTGAAGCTGGTTTTGGCCATGCGTGGTGGACCTATAAATACTAGAAAAGGTAGGCATGGATTAAAGCAATTTGACAATTCTTCAAGCAGTTTGACAATAACATTCTTTAAGTCAGCAATTTTATAGCCTCCAGTTTAAGTCAAATTCCTTTTCTGCTGTTAGATCTTAGAAGAGTCATACTTGTTTTGCTGAGATTATTCTGTAAGACCTAAATACATAGAGAACTGAATTTTTAAATGTGTTCCAAAAGATTTCATTACTCCTGATTCAATTTAAGGAGATTTAGAAGCAAACCTTCCCAATTAAGGGAAAGCAAATGGAATAACATAGTATAATGTAGTATAAATATTGTTAACACTTGTGCCAGTCTCCAGTCTCATTGCTTTTTTTTTTTTTTTACTAAGTCTTAAAATTCCTGCAATAATGATTGCTATGGAAAATGTCAAAGATGCATATTTGTTTACCAGGTTTATGATGCATCTGGGTTTCATGAATGGTCTCATAGCCCTCTCAAATCTGTTCTCAGAATGTGGGCACAGTGACCATAGTGAGGTGTCGGTACCATGAATGTGGGGTGACAGGCCTGCTCCCTGACGCTGCCTCCAGTGAACAACTGCAATGAATGACCATAATTTCATGTGGTTTTAAGTGCGGTATGGGAGACAGACAAGATAATATGACACCGTCTGCCAAAGTGGGGCAGGAGGGAGGGTCTTTGGAGAAGGTGATGTGGGCAGAGACTTGTCTGAGATAGCAGAGCCAGGAGTGTGCATCTGGGCCTGGCTCAGCAACAGCACACAAACCCCACACATGGGGAGACTCCTCCTGTGGATCTCATGTTGGGGAAGGCCTTTAGGTTTGTCTAGTTGAGTCCACTGCTGGTGTACTGCCACCTGTCAAACAATATCCCTGTACTTCACAATCTTGTTTAAAAAATAGGATTCTTACCATCTTTTCCCTAGCTACCTCAAGGGGATTTTGTGGATGTGTTGTACTGTTTGGCATAAATTAGTGAAAACAAGGTCATCATATTAGAGCAGATAAGGACATCAAGGACTCTCCATTAACTTGGCTGGTAAAATGCTTTTACGTGATGTGGATGGTGTTTATGGTGTTGACTTGGAGAGTCGTATAAGAATCCTGAGTGTTTACTGAGCCATTAAGAAAGAATTATGCAGTGTTTAATGACATGTGAGTTCCATTGTATTACATGTTTGAAAGTTGATTATTTGTATGTAGTAGGGCTTTAAGCCAGAGTGTTTAATTACAACACCTAATTTTTCTTACTAGGAGTAAAACTATTTTTGCACAGTTAAGATAATAAGTGTAAGTAATACAAATTGTGAATGTGTATATATATTTTTCTCTTTTAATGAAAATGAATTTGTACCCTTTGTTAGTTCAAGCTTTGTAATAAAGTCTTCACAATAATTTTTTACAACTTTCTGTACCATGCTTTGGAATTGACAGGTCAGTATCTAGCACTTAATTTTTAATATTTAAAATTGTTAGGCCAAGCAAGGTGGCACCTGCCTGTGATTCCAGTACTTGGAAGCTGAGGCAGGAGGATCCCTGCCAGTTTGAGGCCAGCCTAGGCTACAAAGTGAGTTTAAAGCCAGCCTGAATGCGTAGTAAAACCCTATCTCAGAAAGACTAAAATAAAATAGTTTTCAATAAACTTTATTAAGTACACTTTTTAACATTAAATGCTTTCTATTTTCCACAGTTAGCCATTTAAAACTTTGCAAAAATGAAAGACTGAACTCAGATTTAGTAACTTCCCATACTGTATTTGAGAAACCATACTTTTAAAGCTATTTTAGTCTTATTGTTTTAAAACCATGGTTCAGAGACTGTCTTTATTATGTGTGTTCCAGTAATATTTAGCCTTAAAATTTATTTTGGAATAACCATTATCAAAAAAGCATAGAAAATGCTAAAATTAAATTGTACCCTAGTTCCATGTGCACTGTTTTGTATCTGGTAAAGTCTAAATGACTTTTCTGACACAGGAAGATATGCACAGTGTGCACACATGCACAATGCACGGACACATGTACACATGTGCACACACATGTACATATGCTCACACGTGCCCGCAGCAGCCACAGCTGCCTCTGCTCAGCAGAGGCCCTTGTGTGCATGTAGAGACAGCAGCAGCACACCTAACATCCAGCACCATCGTTTTGTTTCTTGTTCATTTAATGTGGAAAGAAAACCATTCACTTTAAAAAGATAAGAACTTACCTGGAAAAAAGTCAGATCATTCAGATGATGACCTCACAGAACAAATCCTACTTTACTTCTACAGTTTGTGTGTGGGTTGTGAATTTAGGATGCAGGAACATCTCAGATCAATTTCCTGACTCCTTTCAGAGTTTCTATTTTTCTGTTGGTAGCATTTCTTTTTAAAGGGTAGGATAGGCTATGATTCTGTTAGTAAGGGAAAGAAAGTTAGGCAGATTGGAAAATTGCTGCTGTTTTTCGGAGAGAGCAGTGTTTCTGCAGCTTGATGGGGAACATCTCTGGAGAGAACAATCTGGTTTACACAGCATTTTTACTTAGACACCCCAGATCTGTTCCCGGGCCTCCTGGTGCATTTATACTATCAGCAGCAATCTCCTAATGTCCATTCCCAGCAGTGGGGTAAAATCAGTGGCTGCTGTTGGGATAAAATCAGATGCAGGCAGGTTGTCATGGCGGCCATAGTGTCATTCAAGCCTGAGGACAGCTGGAGCTCAAGAGCCCACCAGTCATGTGGCGTCAGGTAGTTCCGGTCAGTGCAGACAGCTCTGCACCCTGACCTCACACATTACACTGCAGGACAGCAGGGGGTCCTGGAGGACCCTGATCCAAGGAACGTTCAGACCGCCTCACCTGCTGCAGAGCAGCACAGCGTCAGCCCCTGTGTGCCAAGTCACTATGTCCTGCTACTCAGCTTCACGTCAAGGAGAGGTGTGACAAGAAACAGCTTTTCTATAAAAGCAGAAAGAAAGCAAGTTTGCTGTGGCATCTAAGTTTTGTGTTACTTTTTGTTTCTTTTGTTTTGCTGCTGGGGAATGAACCCAGAGTACTGGGGATGTAAGTAAGTGTTCTGTTACACTGCACTTCCAGCCCTCTGTTCCTTCTGTTTTTTTTACCTGTGTCTCATCTGTATGTTTTTACCCTTTAACCTAACCTAGTGGCATTTGTATTGTTTTTAATTTAAAGAGAATAAAACAAAAAAATAAAATAGAGCCAATCAAGACAAAACAGTGAACACTATACAGGACTTAAAAACAAGGTAATAGGAAATCAACAATGGCTGCCATAATGCATCTTGTTATCTTCAAAGTAGCTGCCCATACCAGATACAATAAAATGAAACAAAACAAAACAATAAAATCAATCTGTTTTTAAATTTTGTTGATCATTGGAAACAATATTTGAAAATACAGGAAGCAAAAGGTATCCAGTGGGAAAATCTTAGATAATAATGACTTAAAATTAGCAGATACAGATATACAGAGCTGGTGGTACAGGAAAAGATTCAACCCATTATTCTTGTCACTGTACAAGGTGCACAAAAGTTGCTGTAAATTGAAAGCTTTCTGTTAATCTTTCCACTTTAGTTCCCACAGAAGACCGGCTTAGGGAGATGGCTGAGTGCGTGGACCCCAGGCGAGATGAGGTCTGGGAGAAGGCCTCCTGCGGCAGACAAGTCACGTTCTTGGTTTACCGGGAAGGAGATCAGTTGAATTTCTTTCGTGTGGTAGATAGGGGAGATGGCACTTTAACACCATTGTCTGAATCTTTAAGGTAAATAGGCTTTCCTTCACATACCTCCCTTTGGAAAAGAGAGTATCATGTAATACACTCCATGGGCTCTGTTTACTTTGTGTTAGCATCTTAGTATGTTAACAGGCTAAATTTTATGCAGTTCTCCTTGCCTTCCCCTCCTATTTAATTCTTTATATGATTGGTATTTAGAGTAATTTTTAAAACTATAGTTTCTTTCTAGAGTAAGAGTTTTTTTGTAAAAGATACTTGTTTCTATACTTTGTGAAACTCTTAAGACGCCTCCTAGATAAGTCTTGTATAATAAATAGCATGTTATTTTACTGTGACATAGTATAAAGGGTTAAACATATCATTATATCTTTTTCAGAATTTAACTCTGCCACAAGAGTGTAAAATCTGTTTTAATTTTCCAGCTCTATAAAAGGGAGATAATTGAAATACCACTTCTAAAATCAAAAGAGAAAATTCTAGAGGGGTTGCTAGGCATTAGGAATATTGGAGAACTGGACATCTTAATCTCTCTAAGTTTCTGTGCATTTCAATTTACCATGGTTCTTTATCTCCTTTCACTTTTAGTCACTAAACATTTACTGAACTTTTGTAGCTGGGCACCAGTAACCTAAGAGACCAAGATTTCTGGGAAAGTACAGGAGGAGATACTCGTTTAAGTCATTATGGAAAGTTAGGGACAGTGTCTGAGAGGACATGGGAGAGGGCAAGGAGAGGGAGTCTGCAAAGACGATAAATGAAGGAAAGGTACTCTGGGTAGCTACTGTGAAACAGATAAAAGGTAAAACTACTCAAAGCCAAAAAAGCTGGTAGTCTGTGGAGCAGAGTGCAGGGACTGGGCTGCCACGGCCGGTGCGTTCTCATCTGAAGGCTGCACTGGAAAAAGAATCTGTTTTCAAGCTCATTCACATTGCCTTCAGGTAGACTGAGGTTCCGGGTTTTGGTAGCTATTTTGAGATCAGATTGCACTGTTGCCCAGGTCTTCTCAAGCAGCCCTCCCACCTCAGCCTCCCAAGTAGGTGGGACTCCAGGTATGCCCACCATGCCCAGCTCTCTGTTCCATTTCAGATTAATTCAGAATGACCCAACTTGGGACCTGCATGAGGTGTGCAAAGGCTCTTCCCATTTGCCAAATTCCACTGGCTAGAGGTCTGTCATGGTCATCATACACTTAGGTAGACTCTGGGTGCAAATACCAGAGGCTGGAGTCACAGATCCCCTCAGGACTCTGCACCCCACAGTGTCAACGCCGCTGTTGATGGCCACAGAAAACAGACTGTGACAGTGAATTGTGACTGTTGCCCAAGGTGTCAGGATCTGATCAGCACAGGGGTGTGGGCTCCAGAAGAGAAGATTCATACAGCATGGGTCACTGCCCTGACCATAGGCAGGGGCCCTCATGCGAGGTGCATGGCAATCAGACAGCCACACGCAGTCATGTGAGCTGCGCACCTCTGCCACTGTGTGCAAAAGCAGGAAGGCAGAATGGGGCCAAGTTAGTTGCTGTGGCCCACGGCCAGGCTTTGCCAACTCCTGCTGTAAAAAGAGACAGAATTATGTGTTTAACCAATTCATTCTGATACAAAATGCAGCATCAGTCTCTTTAAATCTCAAATATTTTTATGAATCACATTACCTTTCTGTTATCTTAGAAGATGGAAGGAAACATTGTAATATGTAAACAGTAACTTGTCAGTAAAAGTCAAATTACATCTTGGCTTTGGAATGAATAATATTCCTGTTGAAATAAAGACCATATTTGCCCATCTTTTGTTCCTTAATTAATATAAGTTAAGTTATTTAATTATTAAGTTATTAAATTAAAATGTTTAGAGAAAATTTTACATGACACTCAAGAAAATATGTAAAAAGCCAAGCATTATAGCACACACCTATAATCCCTGCACTTGGGAGGCTGAGGCAAGAGGATTTCTGTGAGTTAGAGGCTAGCCTAATCTACATAGTGATACCCTATCTCAAAAACATAAGAGAGAGACTGTAGAAATTCAATAAATATTAAAATAGTTAAATTTATAAAGATATTTTTGGAAAAAGTTTATCAATCACTGTGTTATCCTAGCCTAGTAACATTCTTCCATCCAAAAAAACTTAGTTCCCTTCTAAGTACCTCATGAACCCTTTTGAAAGGCAGTATAGTGTTGTGATGCTTAGAAAACATGAGATGAATTCTGGGGCTGGGGATTTAGCTCAGTGGCATAAGTGTCTGCCTTGCAAGCAGGCAGTCATGAGTTCGATCCCTGGTACCGATAAAAAGGAAAAAGGAAAAAGACAAAAAAAAGAGAAAACATGAGATGAATTCAAAGGCATTTTCGTCCTTTGAAATGCATCTGGTGAAATATCTTGATCTTTTTAATGCACATATTCCATAGGAGAATAGGTCTTTGCATTATGGTAATAATTACATCCAAAACCACTTTCAGTATCTGATAAAAATGAACTTAACATGTCAGAAGGCTAACTGAGAAATATTTAAAGTTTAAAAAACAGTGCCAGCTCACTGAGATGAGCGTGTGTACTGCAGGCGCGCCATCTAGGTGGCTGACAGATTCTCCACGCTGCCCCTCTCCAGGTGTGGCTGACCTCCAGGCAGAGGCAGCCACCCATCACACACTAAGCTGTAAGTTCTGTCACCTGTTTGGGGACACAGCCTGCTGTAGTTAGGTTATTGTCCAGTGCCTGGGGAAGCGATGGAAACAGTGAGCTTCGAAGCCAGACCAAGAGGCACTTGGGTTCTGGTCTTGAGACAAATCACTCAACCTCTCTACTGCAGATTCTTCCTTAAACTGGGACACAGTCTCCAGCTCCCGTAGCTGTACACAAAAAACGTGTGGAAAGTGCTCAGCAGAGTAGGCATTTGGTAGCGACAGGCAGTGCTTTGCTGGTGTTGGTTCTCATGCACTGGACAGCTGCCCTAGACAGCAGAGACGGCTGCCAGCCAGTTCCCGCATTCTCCCCCGACACTCATGCCTGCTGCACACGTAATTAACTCACAGTCACCTCAGAAAGGTTAGGGACATGCACCGTCGGCGCTGCCCACCTGCTTCTGAAGCATTAGGGAATGTGCCCTGTGCCCTGGGCCATCCCCATGGCTTATCACCTCCCAGAACAGGAAGTGCTGGGCCCGAGGCCTCTACAGCTTCAGGTGCAGTGCCTGGGGTTCTTACTCTGCTGTTTAAAGTTGACTCATTCTCCAGATCCGCTGACTTCTCTGTGAGACAGCATATGGAGGGCCAGCAAGGCAGGCAGTAAAAAGGAATTTACCATGGCGAGGACAAGGACACTGAAGGCTTTCTTCAGGTCGGGGCACGCTGCCAAGAGGGACAGTGGGCAAGTTCCAAGAGAGGAAGCATGCCTTCGGGGTAACATTGGAATGTTTATGTGAACTCAAGAAACAGTGTAGGCGACAGATATGATTATCTAAAGAATGTGTTTTTCAAGAACATCTAGCACCTTCTAGAGCTTCCGGGAGCACCTGAATTGTGTCTAAAATTGTATGTTTATAGCTGCAGCTTGACAAGACCATTTCCTTGAGGGCTCACAGAAGGCCTGTTAGTTTCAGACACAGGTTTACACACATTCACTTTTAGACAAGGTGGGTCAGGGCTCCTTGGGCCCTGCATCACATCCGCACTTTTGTCTTGTGTAGGTTTGGTGAGTGCTGTGCTGGTGTCTTCTGATGTCAGCAGGAGCCGTGCAGGGTGGTACAGGGAGGCTTCTGCTGCTAAGGCTTTCCCCTTGCATCGTCAGTGGGCAGCCACTGCCGTGAGCTTGTGTTTTTCACAAACCCTTGCCGTTCTCATTTTCTCATCACTGAAAATGTACCGAGATGTTCTGGCTATATGTCAGGCACTATTGCTGGGTACAAAGGCAAGGAGAGTGTGTAAAACCTAGCGTGTGCTTTACACGAGGGAAACCGACATGTGAGTGTACAAATATGAGAATCGTGTGCAGAGCGTCACTCTAGTGTGTGACCAAAGAGGAGGGGCTCCACATGTTTCTTGGAGTAAATGTCAGGATGTGAGTAAATGTCAGGATGGTTAATGAGGAACTGAAGTGTAAGGTGTGGATCTGAGTGCTCAGCCATAAAGAAGGATGGAGCTGAGGCACTGCAGGAATGGGTGCCCCTAAAGACATAATGATCAGTGACATAAGTCAGATACAGAAGGCTAAATGTTTCTTACATAGAAACCCCAAATATAAATAAAGAGCAAAACATGACGGGAAACAAGAAGGCAGACGTCTGGAGGTGGGAAGGAGGGAGAGGGGAAGGAAAAGGATGAAGCCATGACACCTGTGCGCGCTAATTCCCCCAGATGCATGCGGTTCCTACCTATTGCAAGCATACTAATAAAAAAGAAATGTGGCATGTGGAATCTAAAACAAATAGAGGAAAAATGGTAAGAAATTAGAAAAGGAGACTCTAAGAGAACAGAAAGGGGATGAGAAAGAAGCAGGGCAGGGGAGAAGGAGGTAAACAGCACTCAGTTATGTTCTATGCATGTCCAAACACGCTGAAGCCAAGTCTCTCATTCTGGGTAACTGTATAAAATACAAAAGGTGAGCACGTGTAACCTGGAGTAACAGCGCGTGCCAAGGCTTGGCTGCCATGGGTGTCGCTCTGTGTTCAGATCCCTACTGCTCTAGGTGATTGTTTCCAAACGCACTTAGAAAAATTCCGTTGCCCCCTTTCTAGTATCTTTTGCGAACAGAGAATATCATGTAACACTGGTGTGAGAGTTCCTTTCTCGGATGTGAGTCCCTCGATGCGTGGGCATTGCCCTTCTCTTCTGTGCGGTTTCTTTTCACTCTGGGTCATGGGACCCCGATGAGTTTGTGGTCCGCGTTGTTACTTGGTGCCTTAGCTAGCTTACTCCCGCAGAAATAAATGGGTTTCGCCTCTTCCTGGAGGGCAGAGCCAGTGCCCTACCAGTGGTACACTGTGTTCAGAGGCGGCTGACTAGATCCTCACCGCCGTACCCATTCCTGCCTAATCCGTTTTCCCAAGAAAGACCTTTCCAGAAGCACCCTCCTCGGGCCTGCCCGGCCGGCCGCACGCATGAGTCTGTCCTGGCAGCTCTGCAGGCGCCATCGCCAGGCGGGCGAGCTGCTGACCTGCGGGTGGGTGGGTGTGGCGCAAGTGCAAACTTCGAGTCATTTTCTGTTTGTCTGCTTTGCAGCAGCGGTTCTGTGTACAATTTGTGTACTGATGAGGATGAGGAGGTAGAGCCTTCCCCTTCCGGGCAGAAGACCATTGAAAATTCAATAACCATGAATAAGATGAAGCTGCTGAAGGCGAAGATGGAGAGCATGAGCCTGGGCCGAAAGGTGACGCTGAGCCGGCGGGGCTGGGCCCCAGGGGGAGTGGGCAAGGCATTACTCGTTGGTATTTATGCTTCCAGTTTTTACCAAGGTACAGAAACGGAGAAGTTGTTGTTAAAGCCAATGACATGACTGGCAAAGTTGTATTATGCTTAATTTACGATTTTTAAAAATGTCTTAGCTCTAGAGCCGCAGAAGATGATGAAACATAGCTTAATCTGGTAACAGTTATTTAAAAATGCTGCATTAAGCTTGATGGGGGGCAGGTCTCCATGGTAAGAGCAGGTGCTCAGCCTGAAGGCCTTGGGTTCAAGGCCCAGTACCACCCCCAAGTGATCCGGTGATATTTGCTTATTGTGGGTAACACTTACTTCCGGCTTTAGTATGTACCCTCAGTCTCAAAAGCGATTCTGAGGTGATTAAGCCAATTTACATTCTGCCCAGGGGCCTGTGATACTTGTACCTTTGGCCCACATTGGGCATATCCTCCTCTTTTATTTTGCCATGCTGGTTGGTGTCTAGTGGTGTTGCCCTGTGGTCTTAACTTGTGTCTCTTTGGCGGTCAGGAAGTAGAGCATCATCTTTCACATGTCTGTGGGCATGTGGATGTACACTCTTTCCTGCCCAATCCCTGTTCAAATGCTTTTTTTTTTCTTTTGGTTACTCTTACATTTTGTTTATGTTACATGCCAAAGCCAAGTCTCTTATTCTAGGTAACTGCATGCACTAATAAAATACAAAAGGTGAACAGGTGTAACCTGGAGTGATAATGTGTGAATCCATCAGTGAACACATTTTCTGTCATTGTGTTGTTTCTGCATCTTGGCTGTCATGAGCAATGGGGCTGTGAACACAGGGTACAAATCCTCTTCAAGACACAGTTTTTGTTTTTTTAGGATACAGTAGAAATGAAAATATTGGAAAATATAGTATAGTAATTCTATTTTTAATTTTTGGAGGAATCCCCAGCCTGTTTTCCACAGTAGCTTTTTTTTTCCATAGTGGCTTTATTGTATGACATTTAGGATGGGCTTTCTTATTTCCTTAAAAACTGCTTTTAGGATTTTGATCAGGATTGCGTTAAGTCTGTAGAGGTCTTTGGACAGTATTGGTGATACCTTTTTGACTGTGACTTATTTAGAAGTGGGCTCTGCAGTTTCCAAGAATGTTGCAGTTTTGCATACCTTTTTAATATTGACTTGTAGCATAATTTCACTGTGGTTGGGAAACACGCTCAATAATTTCAGTCCTTTGAAAATAGGTAAGGTTTGATCTGTGACTATGCTTACTGGTAAAAATGCTGCTGACACCCTTGGCAAGATAGTCTGGTCATTGTAGAGTATTCTCTTTATAGCTGCCAGTAGATCAAGTTCACTAACTGTGGTGTTAGGTCCTCTGTTTCTTTATCTTTCCTGATTTGGGTGTTTTTGGTTTTTGTTTATCATGTTTTGTTTGTTTTTGAGTAGATTGCTGTTTTCTATCATTTATTGAGAGAGCAACGTTAAAATCTTCCTCTGTGTTTGTGGACTTATTTTTCTAAAAGCTCTTAATTTTTGCCTTACATGCTTTGAAGGTCTGTCCCCAGATCTAGTAAAGGCTTGCAGCTGTGATGTCTTCCTCATGCTCTGTTTGTGCTCCTGCTGTATAACCTGTCCATTCTATGACTTTCAGGTGGTTACAGTTTAAACAGCACATGGGTTGGCTCATCTTTATCTCAAGTGATAAAATTTAGTGATAAATTTAGTTTTATTTGTCTACTTTTGCAGTTCTAACAATTAAGGCCTTCATAACAAGCTGCATCCTCTGCATTGTTGTTGGTTGGTTGGTTGGTTGGTTGGTTGGTCGGCTGGTTGGTTTTTTTGAGACAGGATCTCACCATGTTTTCCAGGCTGACCTCAAACTCATCCTCCTACCTCAGCCTCCCAAGTGCTGGGATTCTATGCATGCACCACCACACGCGGTCAAAGCAGTGTTTTCTTAAGTGGCTAAATTAATCATATCACTTTGTGATCTTCCTGTCTCATCCTCTAAGCATGTTGGGATTCCAGGCATGTGCCACCACCCCTGACTGAGCTTACTCTTTTTTTATATCACTTGCTTTTAATGTAATTTCTGATGTATTCACATTTTTCACCTTACCATTTATTCTCTATCTTACTACCCATTTTGTTTCTTTTCTTTGGCTTTTTTAGAGTTAACTATTTTTTGTTTTCCATGTATATTAGCTACCTACACCTTCTTATTGGTTTCCTTTAGTGGTTACTGTGGAGATTTCAGTGTGCTCCCTTGATTTACTATGTTTAGTGAAAATAATTTCTATGACTTTCATTGAGGTAGTGGTATTGGTGCTGTTGACACTGGAATCTGAGCATACTCATCTCATTCGTGCCTCATTCATGATGCTACCTTTGTGTGTGCTTGGAACTCTTAAATGTCTTAGTTACTTTTTACTCATTGCTGAGAAAAAATACCTGAAGCCAAAAGTTGGAAAAGGAAAGGTTTATTTCTTACAGTTTTTGGAGGTTTCAGTCCATACTCAGTTGGCTCCAAGGCAGGATGGCATGGCTGGGCCGAAGTTCATGGTGGCTGCAAACAGCAAGGAGGAAACAGGCAAAAGAGCCAGACACACCTTCTTCCTGCCATTACATTACAGCCTGGCTCCACCCCTAGGTGGGTGTAGCACTGGCACCATCAATCCAAGAGCTAGACAATGAACCATCACAAATGCACAATGTGAACTCATGAGGCCTGGGGGCCACAGACATAAACCATGACACTGAGTGTTCTATACTGCCAGCATGAGACTGTTTTTATTTACCTACAGAGCCATCTTATCTGTTGCTCCTTATTCTTTCCTGCATTTATATGCTTTCTTCAAGGACTATTTCCCCTCTATCTGAATTGTCTTCTCCAGAATTTCTTTTCATTTAGGGCTCTTTGACAATGAATTCTCTTAGCATTTATCTGAAAACTTATTTTATTTACATTGATTTTACTGTCAATCTAACTACGTTTTCCTTTAAGTGATTTGATCTTTTGTCTAAGTAGGATGTGTTTTGGTATTAACTATTCCAGTCATTTCACTACATACACCTTTCTAACAAAAAGTTTGGAGTCTTTTATTTTAGGATGATTTCGTGTAGTTCTTATATTGTTGGTGCTTACCTTGTTTCTTTGCTAGGAATTTTATACACTTGCTAAACTTCATTCTCTTTAATATGCACCTTTTGGCAGTGCTACTTATTAACTGTTCAGTAGAATCTTGTCTCTTTTGGGCATCTTATAATTTATTCTTTATTTCTGAAGTGAGTCACTGGGTCATGTCAGTTTATTTCATATTTTCCTAATTTTTGTCCACTGTTTCTTGAGTTTGGGATTTATGATTTTATAAGATTTCCTTTTGATATAACCTAGGGTTTTATACATCCTAGGCAAGTACTCTACTGCTGAGCTACATTTCCAGCCTTGATTAGATTTTTTAAAAACTATCTGTGAATACCAATTTCAAAATATTTGATTCAGATTGGAGGGCTGTGATACAGGTTTTTTTATTTGTTTGTTTTAGGGTTTTTTCACCCTTCACTGCATGAGTGAATCTAGCTGAAAACTTCTAATTCTCATTTTATGATATATTTCATTAACTTTGTATGTATTTGGTCTGCCTTTTTCTGCTTATTTTCTAATTTTTTCCTATAATGTTATTTACTTGGATAAGTATTAATAGTTGGGGGTTATTATGCAGCAGTAAGGATTTTATGTGGGAAGTAAGTTTCTTATTTAAAAAAAACTCTTACACAGACATTCACACCTGCAACCCTAGTCACTCAGGAGGCTGAGTCAGGAAGATTACAAGTCCCATCTGGGCAATTTAGCAAGACCCTGTCTCAATAAAAAGACTTGAGATGTAGCTTTTCGTGATAGAGTACCTCTCACTTAGATCCCCCATACTGTGAGGTGGAAGGTGCAAATAATCTTTTCTCCAGAAAATTGTAGGTATTTTGGTTTTCATTTTGTTTGCAAAAAAAGGTTGAACCCAGGCCTTCACACTGAGCTGTATCCTCAGCCTTTTATTTTTTATTTTTGAGACAGGGTCTCACTCAGCCACTCAGTTGCCCAGGCTGGGCTCAAACTTGCTGTCCTCCTGCCTCAGCCTCCCAGGGTGCAGGAGCTGTCTCTGTTGAATCACTGGCACTGTTTTGGAAGGGAGGCTTTGCGATTCACGTCTGTTCCTCTGGGATCTTTACTTCTCCCTCCGTCTGTCTGTCTTGACCTTCCCTTTTACGTTCTTAAACCCAGGCGGCTCTCCTTCAGTTGGCTCTTCTCTGATGTCCTCCGGAACCACCTCCGGGGTCTCTTGTGGCCCTTTTCATCCTGTGGCCCATGTTTGGTGCCGCAGGTCTTGGACCTGCTATCAGTATTTCCATAATAACTAGAATATTTTTCTCTCGTGGGCTTATTTTATTTCATCTGCAGTTTAACACCTCTCTTTCTCTCTCTTTCTCTCTCTTTCTCTCTCTCTCTCTCTCTCTCTCTCTCTCTCTCTCTCTCTCTCTCTCCCCACCCCCCTTCTCTCCCTCTCTCATTTTGTTTTGTTTTACTGAGGCTCCACATTTGCCTTCTCACCACAGCTCTGGGCTTTGCAGATGAGTCAAGCGGTTTGCATAAGCGACATGGAAACCACTATTTTATTCTTTCTTTCTTTCTTTCTCTCTTTCTTTCTCTCTCTCTTGGGGGTGGGTTCTTGGAACACAGGCCCTTATCTCTGAACTACACCTCCAGCCCGTTTATATTTTATTTTATTTTTTTCAGGCAGAACTTGCCCTCTCTTGCCTCAGCCTCCCTGAGTGCTGGGATCAGGCATCTGTGCCTCCCTCTCAGCTCTTTCCAAAACACTGTTCCTTCTGGCAGGAAAGATGGTCGGGATGAAAAGAAGTCAGCAGTGCTATCTCACATGCAATCAACCCGTGTCCTTTCAACTTGTGAAATAATACTAGGGGAAATAAAATTACTTTTCTTAAAATAACAACCTCCGAAAAGAATACCAAACCAAGCAAAATCACGGTTGTGCTCCAGCGTTTAAACCGTGGGAAGATCGTGCATTGAGGTTATGAACTGTCCGTCCTGCGGTAGTGCTTTCTTCTGTTGTTGGTTTGCGCAGCCTGGCCGTGAGAAGGACCCACACTCAGTAAGTTCTGTGCGCTGTTTCCTTGCAGCCCAAGAAACCCCCGAGGGTGCAGCCTCGCCCACCAGCCACGCGCCCTGCCAGCGGCTCCGCAGGGCTGGCCCCGCGTCCCCGGCTACTGCCCGCACTGACGCCCTTGAGCCCAGGGCACCTGCCGGGGTCCTCTCAGATTTGGGGCACCCAGCGATCCCCGGGGAACTTGGCGACTAAGGACCTGCACAACCTGGCCCTCAAGATCCCACGTTCAGAAGAGTGCAAACCAGAGGATACGCTGCACCTCAGGGAGACCAAGGGGAGCATAGCAGGGCCCAGCAGTGGCGCGGGTACCCAAGGAAAACAGAGGGCCAGCACTGCCGTGTCCTCGTCCCTGGCCCTCTCCCCTCCCAGGGTGGTAGCGCAGAGTCCTGGGAACAGCGGGCCCCCGGGGAAGCCACACCACCAGCAGCGGCCCAGGGACTCCAGAGCCCCTCCTGAGCCCGCCATCCCCAGCGCCGCGGCCTCTGGCTGTCGAGGGGTGAAGGTCCGGTCACCAGGGAAGAGGCCCGATGTCATCTCCAGAGTAGAGGCCCGGGACATCACAGAGATGGCCAATAAGGCCGCCAAGGAGCCTGTGGGCCGTGTGAGCAACGTCGGGCTGCTGGCTTCCCTGGCCCGGAGTACAAGCAGGAGCGGGGTACAGAGCGCTCGAGGACCAGGCCGGCTGGGGGCTGCGCTGCGCGCTCCCCGCAGGCGCCTGCAGCCAGAGACTCCGCCATGTGCCTCTGCAGGGGCCCAGTCCGCCGTCCCCTTCCAGGTAAGTGCGGGCCTCTCTACCATGCTGGAACAGGAGGAAACAAACTGAGTCTAGGTTCTAGTAGCAATAAGGAGGTCTGACTTTGGATTTTTTTCCAGTTTGTAGCCAGTCTATTTGATGATTAAATTTTGTTTATTTATTTATGGTTTGGTTTTGGCTTTTTGAGACAATTTGACTGTGTTGTTTAGGCCGGCTTTGAACTCACAGGGGTCTTCCTGCTTCAGCCTCCTGAGTGTTTGCTGGGATTCATCCCCACGCCCAGCCTGATATTCAAATTTTAAATGTATTAGTCCTAAACTGAGAAAAGTAACTGAAAATAAGTAAAGTTTCTTAATCGCTAAGTATTTTTATTCGTGAGTTTTCCCAAAGAAAGAATTCTTATATGAGTCATCAAATTTTAGGCTTTTAAACTTTAATAATAAACAGTAGGCCAGGCATGGTGGTGCACGCCTGTAATCCCAGCACTGGAGAGACTGAGGCAGGATTGCTGCAAGTTCCCGGCCAGCCTGGACTGCAGAACAAGACCCTGTCACAAAAAAATGATGATGATGATGATGATAGGCAGTGTGTAATGGTGTCAGAAGGGAGAACTGGGTTCCAAGCTAATTTGGTTAAACCAAAATCAGTAACATTGAGGGGAAGCCTCCAGGTTGCCCCCTGCGGTGAGATTTGGGCAAGTGGCAATCCTGTCCTGCTGATGACTCACCTCTGCCTGCGGGGTTCTGTGTTCTCCCTGCAGTCTGCCGTTGGCCTGCGAATGAACCGAAGCAGTGGAGCTGCAGGAAAGAGAGGAGGTAAGGAAGCCCAGCCACCTTGAGGACAGGATGAGGCTAAGAATCACACTATTACACACCCGGTTGAATGTTCACAGAGACCGGAGTGGGAGGGTGGGCTTTGTGGTATACAGAGCAGAGTCTCTCCCTAAGCTTCTTCCCAGTCCAGGAAATGATTATTCGAGTGGCGGGTGGGACGCGCATGAAGAATAAAACCACAATTGAAAATAAAAGCCCTTGTCTGGGAGGCACTCTCTGCAAAACTGCCATTTGGTTCTCAGGCTCAGTGGTGGGGGTGGGGTTGGAGGAATTGCCCTGGACAGGTGTCTTAACACCTGGTCCAACATCAGTCTCTCAGGTTGGCTCTGTCTGGATGAAAGGCCAGGCCTTCACAGTACAGGGCAGAGCAGCTCTCAAAGAATCTCCCTGGAGGAGCAGCTTCTTGCAGTTCCTCATAGGCGCTGGCTGGCTTTCCCAGAAGGGGAGCCCCAGCGGTCTTTTTCCTTTACCTGGTACCTGACCTAGGCTTTGGCAAAAGGCATGCCTTTGATTAACTGTAAATCCAGTTTTCAGAACCCTTGAAGGATCTTCAGACACTTCAACTGCCAAAAAACTATGGAGCTCAGGCCTCCCACACCTCTTCATGGCTAGGATAATTGTATTACAGCTGGGTTATTCTCAGAGGCTCATCAAGTATGATTCTAAGCCAGACACTTTTCTTGATTCTCTTCAAGGCTTGGTTGAGTTTATTTTGTATGAGCTGATTACCCTCAAGTGCAGCCAGGAAAGTATTAGTGTATACAAGAAGTATCATCAGTATAAACCTACTGAATTTTGACAGAGTTCTTCTGTAACTTCTCTTATAGATGTTATAAATAATTTTTAGGTTAAAAATGCTATAAATTACATTTTTTTTTTTATGGCAGAAGTGTTTACTGCAAGAGGAATGCTTTGCTAAATGTTCACATTTAGATTTTAAGCCTTATTAATCAAGGTGCCCTTTCTCTGAACAGGAGAATACACCCATCACCTCCCACCCGTGAAAGCCCCTCTCCAAACAAAGAAGAAGGCAACAGCAAAACATTGTTTTCTTTGTGGAAAGAAAACAGGACTGGCTACTAGCTACGAATGCAGGCAGGTTGGCCAACTAGAGTGGCTGAGGTGCTTTCTTGGTGGTGACTTAGCCTGGGGATTTTGCAAAATAAAGCATTGTTTAAATTGGCCACTCACATCAAGGTGATGTTCCAGTAGCAGCCCTCAGTAGAATTCCTGGTTGGCTAAAATAACGAGTAAGTAGTTTCTGAGAGGCAAAAGCAGATTCTCAACTGTCCTTTAGACCAGGAGATCAGTCAGTGGGAACATGACCTTCTTTGTTTTGTATAAAATGTGCTTGACTTTCATTGGGTTGTTACCTTAGCAGAAGGCCTCCTGCAAAATGCTGTTATTTTAAATTGACAAAAACAGACTAAATTTGTGCCAGGTATGATGGTGCGTGCCCGTAATCCCAGCACTCAGCAGGCTGAACAAGAAGATCCTTTTGAATTCAGGGACAGCCTAGATTACTTAGCAAGACCTTGACTCAAAAAAAAAAAAAAAAAAAAAAAAAAAAAAGACTAAATTGAAAGTTAATTTACTACAAATTTTAACAATTATATGGTATGGTTATTTCAAAAACAGGCAAATAATAAATTTTTAAAGAGAAGAGTTTTTTTCTTCCTATAATTATGAAATCTCCAAGAATTATGTCCGGTCTTAACTTATGTCAAGGCCAGCCACTGAAAAATAACTGATACTTTTTAGAGTGTCTTGCATTCAGTTGAAATGCCTTACCTAGGAACATTTTTTAATTTTTTCATGAAGTAACTATATTTAACATAATTTTTTCATAAGACTATATTTGTCAGATTTTCATTAGGTTTACTAGGTGTAAAACATAGGACAGACTGCTAGGCGTATTGGCGCATACCTGTAATCCCAGCACTGGGGAGGCTGAGGCAGGAGGATTGCCATGAGTTCTAGGCCACCCTGGGCTACATAAGGGAGTTCAAGGCCAGCTTCCACTATATAGTGAAACACTCAAAACAAACAGGCAAACAAAAACTGTGGAAGACATGCTTATCAGCTTTTGCAGTGGTGCTACTTCGCAAAGGCTACATGTGGTTTCAGCCCATCGTGGACTCTGTATTATAAACTGCTGCTGGTAGACAGCTTGTTCTTCCGGGAGGTCTCTGCTTTTGAGTGTAGGGAAATGTGCAGCTGACAGTGGTAAAGACCCCCAGGGTGTCTGCTGGCTGCATGAAATGTGCCTATTCATATACCCCTTTCTGTGCTCTAGATGTGGAAACAACTTCTGTGCATCGCATCGCTATGCAGAGACTCACAGCTGCACCTATGATTACAAGAGCGCAGGGAGGAGGTTCTTGCAGGAGGCAAACCCTGTGGTGAAAGCACCAAAACTGCCGAAAATTTAACTCCTCTCTGCGCCCCACTGTTCTGGCCGCTCGCGAAATCCTATTATATTGACAGAAGAAACACTGTTTAGACTGCATTCTTTTTGCTTGACTCCAAAAGATTGGTCCGATAACAAAAGCATCTAAAGCGTACTGTTGGAGGATGGAAATGCTACTGTATTTGATGTCTTTATTTTTTTTTGGCGAATCAGAAGTTTTAAAAGTAGTTCTAAAAACTTTACGCTGCAATGTCTTAGCTTTGTTATTGCATGTGTGTGTTAAGTGTTTATACTTGATACTGCAGTTTCCCCAGACAACTCTTCAACACATGCACTTTAAGAAGTAGGCACTGTCGGCGTGACGGCACCCAGCAGTGCAGGAGGCTCTCCTGGCACGGGCCACTTTTATGTTTTGTGCTAGAGGGGCGAGGTAGGTAGGAATTTTTTTTTCTTCGAAATCCCTATGTGTGAACATTTGTGGAGTTACTGGCAAGTTCTTTTTTATTTCAAACTACTTTTTATAAAAAGAACATTTGGGTTTCCAGTGTGGTCTTTAAACACATAAATCTTTCATGTTTGGACTGGCATTCAGATACAAATCCATTCTATACAGCATATCATGTTAATCAAGTACATATTTCTTAAAGCACTACTTTTTAAATGGCAGTTTTAAAACAGTCTTACTTGCTGCCACTAAATACGGACACCAACTTTCATTTTTCAAGAAAATGACTACATTGAAAGCAGAACTTGGCGCAGGGAGGAGTGCTATTACCAGAAGAAAGGCAGTTAGATATTCAATTTCACTATGTGTTTGTTTGATTACAATAAATTTTCTTTCATAAATAAATTTTCTCATAAAATTTTTGAATGAAATAAAACTAATTCTGCTTGCAAAAACAGCTATCAATATAAATGTTTTCTTTTCAGACCTAAGAATCTTCCCTGGGGGTGAGCCAGGAGCCACACAGGCTTTACCTTCCCCACCCTCTGTCCAGCAGAGATTGAGCGTTGGTAGAGAACACCACCACTAGAGCCAGAGCAGAATACATCTATAGGAGGAAATGGAGCAGGTCGCAGCACATTTCTGAAGAGGGGTGCGCGTAGGTTAGTGCACGTACCTCTGTGCAGAGTAAGGAGTTACTCAGCTTTCCCTCCCTCATGAAGAAAGCATGTGCTTTAGACAGAAAATATAAAGAGCTCAGTTACATGGATAGCATGCTGACAAATGGGCCAAAGCATAACTGCTCTGCAAGGAAATTATTTTATGTCTTGTTTTAAGTCTGACCAAAGATTTTTTAAGTCTTTTTTACTACCAAATCACTGAGAGGTAAACCATTTTAATTGAAAAAGTTACTGAGATGCATTTCTGTTTGCCTTAGATTCTTACAGAAATGCAGTACAATTCAAATTTCAGACACTTTAGATCTGTCTTTGCAGTCCAGCTATTAGGACAGGGCATTATGTGTGGCCTCTGTTTAAATGCTAGCTGAGTAACTGTTTTGGACAGCTTCTGAATGATAGCATACAGTGGTACCTCGGTTCACAAACTCGATTTCACAGACCAAGTTGGACGAGAACTGAATCAAACTCAATGGTTAGGTTCAATGTTAGCCTTATGGGGAAATTTGATTCAGTTCTTATCTAGTTCATTTTGCAACCCGAATTGTGGCAAGAACCGAGGTTGTGAACCAAGGTACCACTGTAAATGCTTTTTCTGTTGGTGGTGTTAATCCCAAATTACATTCAGCTTCTGGATTTTTAAAAAGATAATGTATCAGATAAGATTCACTACAGGGTTTAATATAAAAATACATGGGCACGCACACATATATAAAGGATTTAACAAAGTAGGTGTACATGGCCAGCTGTGGTCAGGAGTGGACGAATGCAGGGCGCTGTGTGCTGAGAGGTCGAGGACGCAGTCGAAAGTTGAGTCCTGGCGCTCACTGCAGAGTCCACTGTGAGTCCTTTTTGAAAGCTGAAGGTTTCACACTGGAAGCCTTAAAAAGGAGTGATGAACCTCCAACGGTGAAGGAAAACACTGAGCTCCAAAGAGGCGAAAAGGACCGAATCCTCTCCCTTTTTATTCCTGCCAGGCTGCGAGCCTACTGCACAATGCCACCCACACCCCAGGCAGCCCTTCCTTCCTCAGTTTGCAGTTGGGAAATCAGTCATCCAGACATGCCCGGAACTGTGCTCCACTAACCCGCTAGCTGTGCCTTATTCAAGTGGACACCACAACTAACCATCACAGTAAGAATTTGGTTTTAACAACATTGAAAGTCTTTCCATTCTTGCCTTTTAAATGTCATAAAATATTTTAAAATTACATGTAATCCAATATAATAATTCTAACATAGGAAATTTGAATACTAAGATACTTTTAAACTTTGTCAGTATGGTAGCTCATAGAGTGATTTAACTATGAAACATAAGACAGACCTTCATGTTCTCGTATATGTTTAATGTCAAGTGAGACAGCATTGCAATGGGCCAGTGATGTGGGTGGTAAAAGAATTTACCAAAACCAGAGTAAGGAGAGGGAAGATTTATTAAATAAGCTGAGAAAGTGGAGAGAGGGTGCACACAAGCAACAGGCAGTGTTAGGAGGTCCGCAGAGGAAGTGTTTTTAAAAGGAAAGGTTGAGCTGGAAGGAGGGATAGCTCGGGTCCAGAGCCCAGGGAAGGAAGGTCAGGGGGGACAGGACCGTGCTGTCTTTGTCTCCTTCGGGCATGCGATGCACATCAGCCCTACAGTGAGTTGCAGACAGAGGCATGGGGCAGTGGAATGTTCACACTTGTTACAGGAACACCTGTTGATGACTGTGGGCTGTAAGTTTCTGAAACAGCTTGTCTTGAAGCAGTGTGTACAGCCCAACAAGCTGAAATGGCCTTTCTCTGGTTGCTTAGCACTTCACATTTAAGACTGTTTTAAACCATCGTGATGATCAAATTTTGTATTTAGAAGTCTAAATATGACCCATGTACCACACCTGGAACATGAGATACTTTTAGGTGTTGCAAGGATAAATGTTGGAACCCTTGAAGCTGAATACACATGCAGGACTGTGGTTTGGCCTAGGCCTGATTGAACTGAGAATGAGGAGACACCTCAGAGGGCAAGATGGGCCACAGCTGAGGCCACCTGGAGACTTTCTGTATAGTTCTCCTTAATTAGCATCTGTTGCTCCGAAGGGTCCTTGACCCCCCCTCCCAAGGTCCTGCTCAGATTTCCTCCATTGTCCACTCAGCTCCTTGCTTGTTCTGATTAAATGCTGGCTGCCTAGCGTCAGTTGGCCGGCTAGCAGAGCTACAAGCTCTGCCAAGGATTTTAGTCTCCCTGCAGCCCTAAAGACCATGCCGCTTGTCTCATTCCTTTGAGACTTCACCATGTACCCATTTGGGGGGCTAAGGGTCTAGGTACAGACCCCAACAGATAAACACATAATAACTATTTGTATTTTAATGTGTATCAAAAGTATAACTATAAACACTGTAAGTTGACTATTAAGCAAATTGATTTAGGTTTTTTAAATGTTTGTAAGTTGACGAGCTAGGTTAGGTACATATAACAAAAATCACAAAAGATGTGAATGCCTGAGATTTAGGAAACAAAAGTTATGTTTTAACTTTAAAAATTATGTTATACTTTTTAATGGTTAACTAAAGGATTAGAGTTCCAGTTATTTTTAAAAAGTTGGGGGGGTATAAAAATTTGACCATTGATCTCTAGGTTTTTCCAATAATCAGCTTTAATTTCTTACCATCATAACACCAACCTGTATATCTTAAATATTAATTTTAGTCTTTGAAAGTGGAAAAGAACCAATAATGAGATAATAAAAGACTATAAGACCATCAACAAAAAGCAATCTGCATTTAAAAGAAAATACCAGGAATCCTACTTAAATTATTGGTTTATTGCAACAAGTGCTTTACATTTTCTTAACCCACTTTGTATAATATGTGATGATTGACTATCCAAGGAAACATTAAAAACTTCAAACTGCTTTCCACATGGAGACCAAGCACACCGCACTAACAGGCAATCCTTGTGAAGTTTCATGAAACCAAAAATAATAAAACTGAACATGAACACAAGCAATTATTGAAGGCCACAACTTCATCAAATAAATGTATCTGCACTGAGACCATCATTCTTATTAACCTCATTGCTGAAGCTAAGATGCCCCTTACTGTTGGTGAAGAATTGATCCTACCAGCTGCTAAGAACATTGATCATGAAGCTGGGTATGGTGGCGCGCACCTGTCACACCTATAATCTCAGTACTCTGGAGGCTGAAATCTCACCATAAGTCAGAACCCCACAAGGGTCAGTGCCCTGTCTGCCAATTCTGGGCCACCCACGCCAGCAGCCAGACCACCTGCCCCTAAAAATGGCCTCACTGTCTGTGCAAACATATAGGAGTCCTTTTTTTGTATTACAAATAACCATGCTGCCCACAATTCTGCCCATTGGCTTGACCTATCTGTTCTGGTCTCAAACCAGAGGACTTCTGTACTGGGCCAGAAAGTGATTGCCATCCATTGTAGGGTTGTGCCATGGTTGGACCCACCAGTATATGGGAGAGAAGTCTGAGGTCCCTCTTTCCCCTCTGCATAGGAGCTAGGTGTCATGCCCATCATCCTGTATGGTTTCCTGAGCTGTCACTGTTCCCAATACCCTTGCCAGTTTGGTTATCAATGGCCTATAAGTACTTCCCCCAGCATGTGAGTGTGGAGGCCTGGGGCACCCTACACCTGGGACAGGACATCCATTTATGAATCTAGCCCTCAGCTGAGTTTCTAGTATTCTACTGTCTGCTGCCCTGTGATACTTTCATATACCGCTGCTAATGCTCAGTCTTTGAGTCCTGAAAAGCAGCTTCCACTGCATCTGTCCAGTTCTACTTTGCTCTCTTCCAGATCATCTGGTATAAAGGGTACAGCAGAATAGCTAAGTGTGGTATGAGTTTCCACCAGAAACCTAGTGATCCACATACGCTTGCAATTGGCGTACTCTTTTAGGTCTAGGGTATGTCTGGGTCTTACCAGCTATAGCATCAGGAAGTCCTTTTGTCTTACCTGACCAGATAACACCCAAGAATTTGACATACAAGCCAGGTCCTTGGACCTTGTCTTCATTGAGGTTCCACCCCTGGACTAGGAAAGCTTCCTTCAGACTATGTTCCATGGCTTTCAAATCAGTAAGGCAATCAGATGTCAACATCATCAATACAATGGAACAATGACTCAGAGTATGGTTTGGACCAGGTGGCCAAGTCCTGGAAGCTCCACTGCCCACGCTCCTAGGTGAAGGCAAATTGGTTCTGACTGTTAGGCATGATAGCAAGGGAGAAGGCATTAGCTAAATCTGCAACATAAGGATATTAACCCAGCATCAGGCTGAGACAATCCATCAAATCTGTAATATCAGGTTTGATGGATTTCCACATCCCATCCAGCATCCATACAGGTATACTAGGTGGTTGAAAGACCTAAGATATACTACACCCAGCCAGGGATGGTGGCTCACGCCTGTAATCCCAGCACTCAGGAGGCTGAGGCAGGAGGATTGTTGCAAGTTCAAGACCAGCCTAAGCTCAAGGCCATCCTGAACTGCCTAGCGAGACCCCATCTCAAAAAGAAAAAAAAAAGAAAAAAAAAAAAAAGATATACTACACCCAACTCTTCCAATTTCAAAATAGTCTGTTCTATGCCATGACCTCCAGGAAGTCAATACTGTTCCATGCCCACAACCTGCCTAGCCTGCAGGAGAATCAGCAGTGCATGCTGTGTATGTCCTTAGACTATGGTTTTACCCTGCAAATTTGCAAGCACAGTTCTCCCTGCATGTTGTCAAGCCGAGCACCAGTCAGTATGTCCATTCCCAGGGGG